CCACCAACAATGAAGGAGAGTTTTTTTCCTCCACAATCTTGACAACATTTATTAATTGCATTCTTTATTATATGGACCATTCTCCACAGGGGTAAGGTGATATCTCAGTGTGGTTTTAATTTGCATTTCTCTTATAATAAGTGATGTTGAACATTTTTTCATATGTCTATAAGCTATCTGAATGTCTTCTTACAGAAGTTTCTATTAGGTCCCTTGTCTATTTTTTAATTGGGTCATTTGTTTCTTTGTTGTTCAATTGTATATATACACTGTACATTTTGTCAATTAACCCCATATCAAATGTATAGTATGTAATTATTTTTTCCTATTTGAAAATTGCCTGTCAACTTATGATTGCTTTTAAGGTACAAAAGCTGTTAAGTTTGATATAGTACCACTTATTCATTTTTGGTTTTGTTTTCCTTGATGCTGGGGTTGTATTCCCAAATACATGTTTGTGGTAGATGTCCTGTGTGTGGTTCCCCTCTATTTTCTTTCAAGTACTTTTTGTTTTCAATTCTTACATTCAGATCTTTAATCCATTTTGAGTGAATGTTTATGTGTGGTGTTGAAAATGGATCTTGCTTTACTTTTTTGCATGTAGCTATCTAGATATCCCAGCACCATTTATTAACAAGTCTATCTTTTCTCCACTGTTTCTCCAAAATTTTATTCCTGAAAATTACTTGTCCATATTTATGTGGGCTTCTCTCTGGGATTTCAATTCTATTCCCTTGGTCTGAGTTTATTTTTTTGTTCTGGTACCATACTATTTTGATTACTATTGCCATGTAATATGTTTGAAATCAGAAAGCGTGATGGCTCTATTTTACTTCTTTACTATCAAGAATGCCTTGGCTGTTCGGGACCCTTTGTGACTCCATACCAATTTACTAATGTTTGCTCTAGTTCCTTAAAAATTCATTGGTATTTTAATAGGTATTGCATTACATCCATGAATTGCTTTGGGTGGTATAGTCATCTTGCTGATGTTAATTCTTCCTACCCATGAGTGTGAGATATTTTTCCACTTCTTTGTGTCTTCTTTCATTTGCTTTAATAGAGCCTTATAGTTCTCATTGTACAAGCCCTTCACATCCTCCATTTGGTTTATCCCAGCTATTTCTTTCTTTTTTTTATTGGCATGATTTTAAATGGAACTATTCCTTATTCCCTTTCTTCCAATACATTGTTGTTCATGTATAGAAATATCATTAATATTTTTGTGAATAGATTTTGTATCCTGTCACCTTATTGTATTCATTTATTGTTTCTAGAAGTTTTATTATAGAATTTTGGTTTCTGCAAGTATATTATCATGTCATTTGTAAATAAGGGCAGTTTCACTTATTTTTTTTCTTTTTCAGATCCCTTTTATGTCTTTTTTTCTTGCCTATTTGCTTCAGTTAGGACTTCCAGGGCTATGTTGAATAACAGCGGTGACGGTGATAGTGGTCTTCCTTGTCTTCTTCCTGATCTTAGTGGAAATGCTTTCAGCTTTTTACCATTGAATGTGTTATGGACTATGGGTTTGTCACATAAAGCTTTCATAAAACTTAGTTTAGCTCTGCTTATTACATTTTTGAAGGGTTTTTATCATAAATGGAAGATGATTATTATCCAATACTTGCTTGGCATCTATTTAGAAAATCATGTGGTTTTGTCTTGCTGTTGTTGATCTGATGGCTGGCACTGGTTTGTCTTCATATGTTGAGTCAGTCTTGCATCACAGCAATAAAGCCTACTTGCTTGTAGTGGATGATTTTCTTGATATACTGTTGTATTCTGTTTGCTAGGATTTTGTTGAGAACTTTTCCATCTATGTACATAAGAGATATTGCCATATAATTTTCATTTTCTGCACTATATTTGTTTGGGGAATTAGGGCACTGTTAACCTCATAGAATGTATTGAGGAGATTTCCTCCCTCTTTAATTTTCTTGAAGAGTGTGAGTAGGATAGGTATTAGATCTTATTTAAAGGTTTGGTAGAAATCACTGGTAAAGCTATCTGGTCCTGGATTTTTATTCTTGGGGAGGCTTTTTATTATTCTTTCAATCTCAGCACTTGTGATTAGACTGCTTAAGCTGTCCATTTCATCCTGGTTCAATCATGGGAGGTTATACTTTTACTGATATTCATTAGTAAAACTGTAATAATAGCTACATGAATTTCTCTTAGCCTTGGTAAAGGAAATGTCCTCTGAATGCCCCCAGCAGACATATTTTAGCAGACAGGCGAGCAGATCTGAACACAAATATTCACTTTATTACTCTAATCTCCCTAGCCTTTTAGATAGTTTCTTCTCCAATATTACCAAGAAAATTCTAATATTCAATTTCATTTCATATAAGCATATTTGGTACATGTTTCAGTCAATAAAATGAGCACCCTGTTAAAGTTACTTTTATTCCCTCCAGCTAATTGAAAACCCCTGCTTGGTTAAACCCTAACGATGCATTTGGTCTAACCAATTTCACATTCTTTTAGCCCTAATGATATGCCTTTAGGATCAATTGCTATATTTATTTCCCTGTTTATATTAAGATAAATAGTCAAATATTTCCATGAAAAATGTTCTGTGGTAGCAAATGCTTGGTTATTCAAAGTGTTGCCTTCTGTAGGTATTTGATTATAGGTGTTTGCAAGTAATAATTTAAGTAACTGTTTTACTATTTCATGCCAGGGGCAATTAGTATTTCCTATGCAAATTGAATCAATGCCTTTAAATTTAATCAGTCCAGAGAACTGACAAATAATCCAGAACTAATTTAGATAACCCATGTTTAACTTTTTTTTTCTTCTGGAATTGCTTTTATTTCAGTGTGAATAAAGCATTATCCCTCCCTTCCATGATGAAGGAGACTCATTGGAATAAAGCTTACACCCATAAGTGCTCACCATCAGTCTCTGATTGGGGAGGGTGAAACTCTCAGCAATAATAATAGATAAATCAGCTTTAGCAAAGAGAGCTTCTTATTGCGTCTGTTCATATCTTCTCATCCTGGTGACCAGGGTCAGTTTGTTCATGGACACATTATGAAGACTAAGGAAAGAGTCAAATTCATTTCCAAAGAACATGTTATTCTATGTTCTCAGTCACTGAAAGTCTCCCTGAAAATATATGCTCCTTGTGAGCATCAACAATGTGCACAAATATCTTCACAGTTTGTGTTCATTCCACGAGGTCCATCTGCATAACTCTTCCTCAGACTTTCTTGTTTCATTTTTCAGTCCTGTTATTCTGAAGTCCCTGATTATCCAGAGATCCAAACTATTAGCCACTGTCCATGATATAGTGCAGCTTTAAGTGTCTCTAAATTAAGCTGAAGTCAAGGCTAAATGCACTGCTTGAAGTTTTGCTCACTTGGAGAATTTCTCATGACCATCAGTGTTCAGTGTCAGAACAAACTGAGGGTGCTGAGTTCTGCAGTCATCTCTTTAAAATGAGTGCCAAGTTATCCTGCAGAACCATCTGTAAATCTGACTTAAGATTTTTATCTTCAGTTGGTTGGGCATAAGGAACTTCCATGAGAACGTAAGTGAGGGTTAGGAGAGAAGAGACAAAACAGACGAAGTCAAAGGAGTCTGATCATCTGCTAATGCAACTTACTTGTATTTGTTGAGTCTTTTCTAGCCAGCTATCTTATATTGCATTTTTAATGGTGATAAATTGCTGCTCTGAATACCCAACCTTATGTCCTAGAGTGTCATAGAATACTACTATTGTTGAATAGCTCAAAACTCATAGTCATTTATGTTCCCTAATTACAGACATCATTAGCCTACTAACGAATGAGGAGCTGTTTCTCAGAGACTTAGAAAAGTTCATAGATTTACTCTAAATCCTGGATGTATACACTGTGATTCTGCTACTATGGCTATAGAAAACTTCACATAGCATTCATATCCAAATGTATTTCATGTACTTTTGGAACTTTGGATCATAAATCTCAATTATGCCCAACCAACTGGCTACCCTATTCAGTACATGGGTCATGGAACAGACAAAAATGTGAGATACATTTCAAAAATCAAAAAGATTTCTGAAAACAGTGTGCTTATTTCATAGTGCAAGGTATTTTCCATTGAAGACATATTGTGATAGGCTATAAACTATTGAACTCCAAAAGATTTGCTGAGTTGATGGGTCTCAATTTCTCTTCAGTATATCTTTGAATTGCTTATTCTTACTAAGGCATTTAAAGTACTTGATGCTGCTTATTAAATCCAGTCCACAGATCCCCATGTCAAAAAATATATTAAATAATGTGACATTCTAATTAATGTCAAGATGATCAAGATATCTGTGTACTAAGAATAGAGATGAGAATAAGATAATTAACATATTCTTGAGCAAGACTGTGATCTTGGCTTTTACTTTGTCAAGTAAAAGTATTCTTATGATCCTTGTATACTGGTATAGTAAGTAAAGCAAATTGCAAGGTCAATAGTTACATATCATAATCCAGATGGCTCAGTTCATTTACTAAAGGGACAATGACACATCTGGAACAGCAGCAACAATTGTAGTTAATACCTTATTAAGATCATGATAATCTAAGACCCATCAGCATTTTGCACAGGTAGAAAGGCAAATTAGTGGTTTTATGACTCTTTTAAGTCTTTGGTGGTGTTTGCCATTCCCCCAGGGAATATGCTTTGCTTATGCTCACTAACTCACTAATGTGGTAAGGTGAGGAAGAACCAAGGGCTTACAGATGGCCCTTCCTACTGTAACAGTCAAGTAGGAATTTTTCCCGTTATCAAATTTGTGTATTATTTAAATGTCCAAAAACTAAGGAAGTAACCATAAAAAACATGGACTTGGCTGAGCCAACTCTGAATTAAGCTTTGGTCAGCATGTTCTTTATCACTTTTCCTCCATTAAACCTTAATTTGATCAAAGAAATATAGTGGCTTTTTGGGTTCTCAGTGATTAGTATCAATTAAGAAGCACCATGTCCTATAATCCCCTGTGCTGGCTTTTTGCTTTCCAGCGATGCACAGCCACTCTATGCTGCATGTCCTTTTGGAGGAAGATTTGAAATAAAAGTTACAATATAAGCAATAGAGCCTGAGAGATGAATTTCAAGGTCCCTGCACAAGAGACCCCAGCCTTCTCCTCTGGTAAGAAGCTCTAGATATTTGGACTTGCTTTAGTGTGGAAACTGAAAGAAAGGCCATATTTGTTCATTAAGAAGATGACACCAGTAAGATTTCTTTTCTTCAGCCCTTGTCTTTTCTCTGTTGTAAATCTGAATGTGTCACTCTGCTTCAATAGTGTAGCCTGCTCACAAGTCTCATATACCAAATTCAGTGAATTTTAACTCTAAATCTCCTTCCTTTGCTTACCTTTTTAAAATTTTTTTTTTATTTTTTAAAGCATTTGTGTTATTAACAGAAACTCATGTTTAATGTGGCTTAACAATATTTCAGAAGGTCATCAAATTTCAAGACTGTTTTCTTGAGACATTCTTGTGCTACTATTTTAAACATAATAATAACCCCAAAAATTGTATTAATAAAAATGTCAATGTGAAAAATACGTATATCAAGTAAGATTATTGTAGACTGCTCAGCTGTTTCATTCCTAAGGACGGCATGTTATTTGGGACAAAGCATTTTAAGGAACACTCTGTCTTTGTTGGCCATTTGGGAATTTAGTCCTGTCACTTGCCTCTGGATGCTCCAAGAATCCATATTTCCATGGGAATTGTCAGATCACTAAAATACTTTAGATATGGATGCCTGCCAGTATTTTAGATTTAAATTTTCTTACTAAGGCAATATGACACAAGAAAGTAATATCATATATCTTATGTATTCAAAGGAAGCAACATAATTATCTTCCATTCTTTTCCTCCATAGAACTTATTTTTTAATATACTATTTCCTACATAGATGATAGATTGATAGATGATAGATATTAATAGATGATATATAGACACTCTAATCTCTAATCAGTGAAACCCACATTAATATCTGATCCTCAGAATTATAAGACAATGCATCTATGTTATTTTTGCCATGAAAGTTGTGGTAATTTGTTATATCAGCAATAATATAAAAAAAGCTGCCAAATAAATATTGCAAAATGATTAAATTCTAATAAAACAAAAGCACTGGACATGAGGTAATAAAACCTGGATTCTATTTCCAGCTTTGCCATATTAACTGTATGATCCTGAGAAAAATCACAATATGCCTGTAAAGTGGAAATGATGGCTCACTTTTTCTAATGTCAGAATTATTTATAGGGAGTATTAGTATCCTATTGCTGCTATAATACATGACTATGCTAATAATAACTGAATATAACCCACAAATTAATTTTCTGATAGTCCCAGTGGTCAGATGTCAAAAAAACAGTCTTGCTGAACTAAAATCAAGATACTAGATAGGTTGCATGTCTTCTGGAAATGCTAGAGGAGGACCTATTCCCTGGCCTATTGTAACTTCTAAAAGCCAGGGTCCTTGATCCTGTGTCCCTTCCTAAGTCTTCAAAGCCATAAGCATGGCTGTTTTAAATCTCTCTCTGCTTCCTTAGACATGTTACCTTTTCTGATTACAACCCTTCTTGACTCTACTTTATAAGGACCATTATGGTTCAAATGGACTCACTCAAATAATCTGTGATGATGTCCCAACTCAAAATCCTTAACTTAACCACATATGCAAAGTCCATTTTGTCATGTAGCATATTCACCAGTTTGGGGATTAAGATGTGGACTTCTCTGGTGGGAATAATTATTCTGTCATTTTTGTCTACCCTTATAATGTAAAAATGCTCTAAATCACACAGAATTTTCTTCATTTCATTAATTTAGTCCTTCTTTTAATCATTCTCATTTATCAAATAATACAAAGGGAAGTTATGTGCGTCCCTGAAAAAAATAATGACCTAATTAAAAAATAAAATCTAAAACTGCCTCATACACTCTCAGGAGCCAACATTACTTTTAATTATTGCTGATAGACACTGTGCTACTGTTATTCTCTGCCAAATAATCATTTAAGTTTCGATGAAAAATGTAAACTTCATCTGTAGTATTCATATTATAAAATGTTTTTTGATATTTTCCAGAGGCAGCTCATCATAGTCTCATGCTTTAATTCTGTGCTATTTTCCTACAGGCATCTAATAAAAGACTGATAGCTAAAAATCACAAATTGTAACTATATATCACAGCTTGTATAAGTACATTGCCAAAAATCACTTGTTTTGTGAAAAAGTGATACTCAAGTGTAGATTTCCATCAAAGCTTCATTGGCTAAAGACAGAAAACCTTTTTTATATATAATTATGTGATCTCCACATTGGAAAGATATCACAGTCAAATGCTTGTTGAATTTTTGAGTTCCCTTTCTCTTTGCCAAAATCATGAACAGTTTTAGGTCAGGTAGGAGAGTGATAATTAAACATTTTTGTAGCATCATTACCCAAGCATGTGGAAATTTTCTAGGTTCAGTGAGTGGAAGAAACTCGTATATTGATTCAAAAGCACAAAGCCAGATGCAATTATGTACTCTGAATGTTTTCCAGTGGATAATTTTGTGGTGCTAGTTGGAATAATTACTGAGCAAAGTAAAGAGTTACCCTTTTATTTCAATAAGGGAAGCCAAGAAATTTCTGACTTACACATGCTTTAAAAAATATTTAATTATAAAGGGTTATTTCAAAAATCTATATTTAGTCAACAATTTTAGTTTTTATCTAAACATGTTTTTATATATTTACATGTTTGCATTATTTATGTATTTTTATTACACATGAATACATTTACATTGTACAGAAAATATATTTACCCACAAGAATCTCTAGAGAAGAAACAGTTTTTCTTTATTAATGCAGAGGTATTAGTACAGAGAAGCTATATTCTTTACAAAATCCCAAATTTTGGTAAGGCATCTCATGAAAATGAAGGTGAAAAAACAACATAATGTATAAGTGATGATTCTAAATCATAATCACTTTGACAGGGGAAGATTAAAAGTGTTTTGATGTATTTTTTATTTTATGTTGAGGGGTGATATATCAAAATAAACAAAATTTAAAGCATTATCAAAATCATTTAAACAGACAAAAGTATCAATAAGACTTATTTGGAATGAAGCTTTATAAGTAAAGTCTTTACACAAGAATGCAAGAGCAAATAGACTAAACTTCATTTCTCAAGACTGAGATAAATGAGACTAGCATTTTAATTTGCACAGGCACAGAGTGATGGGGAAAGGAAAAGGAGTCCAATATGAAAGCACTCTCTTGAAATGTTTCAATTGAATTCTTGGCCCTTATACTTAATAGAGAAAACCACAAATTTAGAACAGATAACCTCTCAGAAATGATAATCAGTTTGCAATCTGGGTAGTATCAGGATGATGTGCTGCTTTCCAATGAGTCCTGCTCTTAATAGGGAGGTATTAGAACCCACATATTTCACATCTCTCTCTGGGAAATAGAAGAGGGTGGCATCTACTAAAGTGATTAGTCAGCACAGAGGACCCTCCAAGAGAGGTCATGTTTTTAGAGAAAAGATTGAAGAATTGCAGATAAGCAAGAACTAGCAGAAAAGATCTCAAAAACTTAAAGAGAAATTATTTGGTCCTGAAATTGGTACCCTCCCTCCCTCCCTCCCTCCCTCCTACCATCCATTTTTCCTTCCTTCCTCTCTCCTTCCTTTTCTCCCTCTTCCCGCCTCACCTCCTTTCCTCCTTCTTTCCTTTCTCAATTCCTTTCTTCCAAGGAGATTTTAGAAAATATGTCCAAAAATGAAAAATTTCTCTTTTTTATGAAATGAAGTTTTTGTAATTTAAAAGATGCAAATGAATTAAGGTTATTTTGAAAAAACATTTTTGATGATTTTGTTTAAAGTATTCTTTTTTTTAAATAATAGATTTTATTTTTATATTCCCCATACAATTGCAACCCCGCCTTCTGATCCCAATTCCTCCCCTCCCACCCCCCACCCCCCAAAACTGTCTCTGGTTCATAGTTTTTTGTTGATTCTGATTTTCACTTTCTTATAGTTATTCATTTTCCTGGTCCCTTATTTAAGTTTTCTAGATTCCTGCTATGAGTGAGACCATCCGGTATTTTTCTTTTTCTTTTTGGCTTATTTCGCTGAGCATGATCCCTTCCAGCGCCATCCATGTTGCTGCAAATTGAATGTGTTTATCTAAAAGTATTCTTTTTTTAAAAAAGATTTATTTATTTATTTATACAAGAATCGGGGTACAGGCCAGATGAGCGGGAGGGTGAGAGGATTCACCAGAGACAGAGCAGGGAACAGAACAGGCAGACTGACGAAATACACTGCTGAGGGGAGCAGCGGGCGAGACAGGAGAACTCTGCCACGCTATGTGGGACTCTCGCCAGCCAGCCGGGATTGAACCAGTGCTGCAGAGGTTGAGGACAGCTTCACAGTGCTGTGCTCAACTGCATGTGCCACCAGGGGAGACCCTGATTTTTGTTAAAAGTATTCTTAATAAAGATTTGATGTGAATAGGTAATACTTCACTTGTGACAGCAACCCCAAAATTGCATTGACAATATTTTTTAAAGCTATTTTTATTTATTTGTTTATCTATCTATTTATTTATTTATTTATACAAGCATTGGGCACAGTCAGAAGCGTGGGAGGGTGAGAGAATTCACCAGAGGCAGAGCAGGGAGCAGAACAGGCAGACAGACGAAGTACACTGCTGAGGGGAGCAGCGGGCGGCAGGAGAGGTCTGTGCGCCATGTGGGACCCTCACCCGGTGGCCGGGGATTGAACCGGCGCTGCAGAGACTGCGGGCAGCTTAGCAACCCAGCGCTCAACTGCTGCGCCAACAGGGAGGCCCTTGACAATATTTTTAAGCAACTGAGATTATTCTGCTGTCTACCTGACAGAGGGATATAATCATCAAGTTCAGCAACCTTTGCATTATGATACTGGGGACTCTGGATTTCCCAAAAAGATGTTTCTAAGTATAGAAATGAAGCCACTCTGAATTTCCCAAGTGACACCAGCCAAACAGTTTAATTGTTTTATGTATATATTAGACCTCGACACACGAATATAGGATACTTCATCTAAAAGTATTTGGAAAAACTAAGTAAACTTGTATTTTTTAGAA